CCCCAAAACCCCAAAACCCCATAAGTCGAAATAGTTTGGAAAGGCAGATAATCATAAAAGGATTTGATTAAATCAGCCTATTTTTATTTCATAATTCTCAATTGTTTTAAGGATTTATAATCATTCTTATATGGGAAACATAGACAGCAGAGCCTAATTTGGCAATGGATATCTTTAAGCTGCTTGCGATTAACCATTTTACGAGCCAGGTCAAACTGTGACAGGCAAGGTTTATGTTAGATTAATAAATAACATTGCTGACGCAAAGTGCGTCTAAATTAAAATCCGAGGAAAGGAAAAAGGTTCTTGGTGGGAAACATTTCATAGAAATGTTCGATATACAGATGGAAGAACAGTTTACCAATAAGTGACTGAGAAGAGAAAGTCAAGAAAAGACTTCTTTAGCGGATCAGTTTCTCTTCATGATTTCTAAGCCGGTGCAAGTAAAGGAGATTACGTATTTCCATTTCAATTCTAACTATCAGAAAACATTCCATCTTCATTTTTCTATAAAAATTCTCATATTAAAAAGAAGCCTAAAGCTCAAGTAAAGTATTGTATTAAGGCCTCTCTAGAAACTAGATCAGATCATAATGAGATGTAATATAAATAAGTTCTCATTGTGAGAGAAAAACCAGATTAAGCGGTGATGGAAAAAATTGCTAAAATATCAGAATAAAAAGTTACAACTTGGTGCTGCGTTAATTAAGGTACTTCTAAGATTGAGGTTTAGTTTGACAAGAATACTTTCTTTCCTTATGAGCAAGTTAAATGCAAGGTCGAGCTTAACAACGGAAAATGCAATATCCCCATGACCGCTGTGAGATTTTCTGTTGAACAAGAATTAAGCATTAACTGCCACAATCACATATTTAGAGATCTAATTGTTATCAAAGAGAAATAAGAAAATGGCGCTCCTGCAAGACATGATAAAAATGAAGAAAGGGAATTGGAAGTAGATTTAAGTTAGATTAAATATTAGGTGCCTGCTCACAGAAATAAAGGAGGCAAGCATGTTTAATTTAGTTTAGAAGATGCTTTTTAAATGAGTCAAGCTCAACCAGATTGCCACGGAAGTATTATTAAGAATGATTATTACTTGGCAGTTAGAACAGTCTTTGATGGTTGTACTTGCTGTGCTGAGCTTCCAAAAGTTCGTATTCCTTTAAATATTCTTCCAGTCATTAACCCCTAACTAGCTAATTTCGCACCTCCTAATGATTACAACCCTAAAGATCATGAAATCACCAAGATAACTTTTAACAAAAATTGAACGATTTCTTGAATTGTCTAGAGATAGAACAATTAATAAGGGAGTCATTATTCTATATTTGAGATGAATCTTAACTCTTTCTGAGAGAATTATATTTTTCAAAATCTTAATCAGCTTAAATCATTATTTTTTATTTCTTCATAACTTTTAAATAATCAGACACAAACATTGCTTAAATAATCAAGTTCATGGGGTTTTGGGGTTTTGGGG